ATCACTAACTGTAAGTTATTCAATTCTATTGTAAAGTCTTGAGGCAAGAGCCATGTCTGCTCAATAAACATCTACTGAAGTCTAGTAAAGTTTTAACCACAGAACAAGGTGTTCAGAACAGAGAAGGACATTCTAGTACAGATAAGAGAGAACTTTCATCTCCCCTTTTCTGGACACTATACTTTTAATATTACAGCAAAAACCAATTTTCTTAGCAGCAGTATCACATTGCTAGTACACTGACTGAAAGTATAGGTTCCCTAGGTGTTTTAAAATAAAACACCTCCTATTCATCTCAGCATTCATATAAGAGATGTGCAATTATATGTTGATTTTGTGTCTCTGATGATTATCAGTTTCTATACTAAAACCACAATAGGAAAAAGGAAACAGAATAGGGAGAAGGTGCACTGTTAAAGAATGAATATTCTACAATAAAGTGTTCATTCCACATATCAAATGCAGAGTTGAAATATTGCCCAGCCATTGTTTTATCAATTCGAACAGCTTCACCTTGTACTCTACCTTTAATGGCCTTAAGCCACCCTTACTTACAATGAATTTTTATTTCTTCTATCTATTACCAAATTGTGTCTTCTGAGTATTTTCAAAGCCTTCACTTGAATAGTGGCTAAATTCACTGGGTTTGATCTCAAATTTCTGCAAATTTCACACCAACAGTAGATAGAAATCATTGCTAACGTACCACTAGTCTCAAAATGATAATAGACTGTAAAGTTATGATTGCTTTTTAAAATTAAACTTTATTTTTAAAGTCTTAGATTTAAGGGCTGGCCCACGGCTCACTTAGGAGAGTGTGGTGTTGATAACACCAAGGCCATGGGTTCAGATGCCTGTATAGGGATGGCCGGTTAGCTCACTTGGGAGAGCGTGGTGCTGACAACACCAAGTCAAGGGTTAAGATCCCCTTACTGGTCATCTTTAATAAATAAATAAAAATAATAAAAATAAATAAATAAATACAAGTCTAAGATTTATAAAAAAGTTACAAAAGTACTTCAGGGAGTTCCCACACACTCCTCATTCAATTTCCCCTATTGTTAATATCTTACAATACCATGGTACATCTGTCACAACTAAGAAACCAACACTGGCACATTATTATTAACCAAATTCCACACTTATTCAAATTTCACTAGTTTTCCACTAATGTCCTTTTTCTGTTCAAGGATCCCAGCTACGATACTATATCACATTTAATTGTTATGTATCCTCTACTCTGGTGTGACAGTTTCTCAGACTTTTCTTGTTTTTTTGTGACAAAGACAGTTTCAAGTATTGATTAGGTAATGTGTAAAATATCCATGAATTTGATTGTGTCTAATTTTTTCTCGTGGTTAGACTAGAGTATAGGCTTTGAGTAAGAATGACAGAGAGCAAGGTGAAGTGTCCTTCTCATCACATCATGTCAGAGTACACACTACCCTGACTTACCACTGATGTTAATATTGATCATCTGGAGTAGGCAGTGTTTGACACTATTCTCCACTGTAAAGTTATGCTTTCTCCTTCCTTACTCTACTCTTTGAAAACAAGTTACTAAGCACAGCCAACATTGGTGAGTTAAGTAATACAGTATGTCAAAAAAAGAAAAAATCGAATTCAGTTGGAGTAATGAAAATTTTCATGGAGCAAGCATACTTGAGCAAAGCAATGAAAGCTGAGTAGAATTTTGACAGATGAAAATAGATGGGAAGGCATTCAAGATGGAGAAAAGAGTATAAACGAAACATGGGGGTAGGAAACGGGAGACATTTTAAGTCCAGTTTCAGACAAAGCACAAAGTTCTAGGAAAAGCCAGGACCCACGCACAGCGTGCACACACACACTCACTCTCTTTCATTGGTGTTCTAGCTCCTTATCCTAAAGGAAACATCATTTAAAATCTTCAGTAAGACTTTGTAGCTTACCGCATATGGGTGATTTTATGAGTTGAACTGTGCTCTCCAAAATTCATATGTTGAAGTTCTAACCCACAGTACCTCTGGATGTGACTGCATTTGAAGATAGGATGGTTAAGGAGGTAATTAAGGTGAAATTAAGTCATCAGGGTAGGCCCTAATCCAATATGACTGGTGTCCTTTTAAGAAGAGGCGATTGTGACACAAACTGGTACAAAAAGAAAATGTGAAGATAGAGAGAGAAGACTGACATCTACATACCAAGGAGAGAGGCCTGAAGAAACAACCTGCTGACACCTTGATCTCAGACTTATAGCCTCCAGAACTGTGACAAAGTAAGTCTCCGTTGTGTAAGCCACCCAGTCTGCAGTATTTTGATATGGGAGTTTTAGCAAACTAATAGATGGTTATTTAGAGATTCTAAATAAAATCAAATTTGGCAAAACTCCCTACTGTGAATTGGTATTTAAGCTTGTTATTGAATAGTTCTTCGAGTTCATTAGCGAGAAGAAATAAGTGAAGGAGAGGTGAAAGAAAGTAAGAGAGGGTGAAATAGGGTGAGCCATAGAAACAGCTCTAGTTCTTTCGAATTAAGATTGATCTCATAAACTTGTCCATTCCAACCCTAACAATGACAGCAATTTGTTCTCTAATTAAATTCTTTCCCCGAAAAAGGATGTAGCGACGTCATGAAGTTTTTGTGGACCTCCACTGTACTTTATTCAACCGGTGTCTTAACTATTTTCCATGACAGCAGTTGCTGCAATGTGCTGCCCCAAATTGTCCAGCACTAAATAAAAGCTTCACCTGGATCCTCTTTTTTGTTTCATACCAGAGGAAAATAAAAAGGAAAACAGAAAATAAACTTAGTGTTATTCAATAAGCAGGTGCCAAAGACTAAAACAAGGAGTATTCCTAAACGTTGGAAATTCCACTTTACAACGGTGGTAGCTCTACCCTTTCTTTAATTGCATCCTCAAAGGAACGTAGAGCAGGGGAGTTAAGACCAAGGAGTTCCGCTTTCAGGAGGCGTCGGAGTCCGAAAGTGGCCAGACGTGGGCCACAAACTGTGGGTCAGACCGCAACAGAGGACGCAGCCAAAAGGGTCTCGTCTACGCTCATGAGGTCTAACAACCTTTCCTTTTTCTAATTTTGTGCTTATCGTTTGGTGAGGCTTTCCATATTGAACGCAAATACTTCTAAGAAATTAGACCAAAAAAAAAAAACCCAACTGAGAGCAGACCACTGACACCGGCGCTTCAGGAACAGCAATTCCAGCAGAAGACGAAGGCCATGAACAGTTCATTAGCAGAGAGACAAAAAAGTCAGCCAGTTTTATATAAATTAACCTACCAAAAGGTTAAGAAGCAGAGAACTGTCAAATCTAGTGCTCCGGTAACAAAAGTGACTTCTCACATAACTACCCTAGAGTCAACAGGAAGCAACACAGCTTTCTCCGTTCAGTCAGCCGGGAGCTTCAGGATGTCACGGTCCCGCGAGAACTGTTCGGCTCATGTGTGCGCATGCGCCTGAATCCGGGCCAAACGACCCCCTCAGACCTAGGTGATGGGCGGTGGAGGGCGAGCAAAAGCCGAGAGAACGATGGGGCATCGGGAAGGAGGTGGTCAACGGAAGGGGTAGAGCCGGCCGAGCTTGGGGTACGGAGAGGCGGGAGAAATCGCGTAGGCCCGCCCTTCGCGGCGCTTCCCGGAATAGCGTCATGAGCCGTATAAGAATGCGTGCGCAGGCGCACTCGGCCTTTTTCTTCCGAGAAGCGTCGAGGTCGAGTGGAAGTCCGTGGTGCGGCTTCTGCGCCAAGGTGGTAATTGGGTTACAACTTACTGCTTAACCAAAATGCAGGAGATTCAGAATTTTTGTAGTGGTAGATCGGGGTCGACTTTGAAAACCTTTAGATTCGGAAGCCAGAGCGGACTTACGTGTTCTGTAAGTCGCGGCACGGCCACGTGCAGCTCTGGAACCTGAGCCCCCGCGCATGTGGGCCGTGAGCCAGCTGGGAAAGGTTCGGTGTACCTGGGACTCCTGTGAAGACGGTCATTAGTCCTGCTGTCGGTGCTATGGACCATCTTGAGTCTACTATGTTTAGTGCCTTAGCACTCTAAAAATGGCCAGTTTGATCAGATGGTGAGTAATGTCTTTAGAGTTGAGCTGGCTGATCAGTTCTGAATTGTGAATCTCCATGTATCTTTGGGACCTGTCAACTGTGGCAGTCTCCCTTCCTAGCCATGGAAGAGCATATTCTTGTTTATTGGCAAAGCTGTCACCATTTAATTGGTATCAGATTCTGACTTGCACAAGTAACATTTTTCACAGTAAAAAACCTGGAGGGTGCCGAGTTATTGTGCAAATTTTTCTAAACTATTGTTAATGTTTCTAGGAAGGTGAACTCATTGTACTGATGGTTGATGAAAAACATCCCAAGGTACTTTCCCTTTTTTATTCATATTTCCCACTTAATATCAAACCCCTTAGCACTAAGGCTTTGGAAAGCCCATTTTGCTAGAGTTTTGTAACTTAAAATAGTAAATAGCCATGAATAGAAAGTAACTGAATTAGTAACTAAGATTTCAGAACGGTTAGGTAAGTACACAGGTCTGAGTTTTATAACACTGGTTTTCTTCTCTTGCAGATACCAAGAAATCCAAAGTGATAATGAGTGAAGTCTTTATGCAGCATCCTGCAGTGGATCATGAAATGTTTAAAGCTTAGTTGGGTAAATGGGTATTTCACCTGTTCTGGAAACTATCAGTGCACTATGTTCAGTATAGGCCTAAATTTTTAAATTAATATTTAAGGTGTTTCCTTGATGTGATTAAATAAAGTGCTTCATTGATGTGGATACTCAGTGTTTCTTGACTGAAAAATAGGTGGAAAGGTAGTTACCAGTAATGAACAGAATACCTTAATGTTAGGAGCTTATTTGGAACTAGCATGAATGAGCACTGTCCTAAGGTTATTGTAGCATTTGGGGAAAATATGCACATAAAAATGACAAGGTTATCCCCAAGGGAGAGAGCAGAGTCTTTTTGTACCACACAAAAGGTTAAGGCAACTACAAGGTGAAAAGTTCTGCACTTTATTTACACAAATGCACCAAACACTTGTATCTTTTAAAAATCACACTTAGACAAAACTGGCTATAATGAAGGCATGTTTTAAGAACCATCTATTCTACTTCAGGATAGAACAAGCTGCAGGCCTGCCTGTTTACTGCCTTTTCGGTTTGCCAATCCCTGGTCTACTTAAAACCTGAATATAAGTGTTGCTTGTACCAGCACTGTAGTTTAATTACCACGGCAGCCTGTGGGAAAGTTTGAGTAAAAATAGTCTCACCTATATTGCACATTTTTCCCAAGCCCTTGTGCGAGTGTGTACCATATGTAGCCCTACATGTAAATGTTGCTTAAAAAGGTTCTTTATCAAAATCATGGGCTTTTAGAAAAATTTTAATGCTGTTATATCTGACACATAGCATTGCAAATCTGAAAAGTAGCAAACTATAAAGCACCTTTAAGTTTGTACCAGTTTTTATAAAACTGGGAATTTACAAAAAGGGGTACACAGTTTGATATAGGAAGGAAAGCTAAAGTCCCTTATTAATGACAGCCACTTAAAAGGGTTATTTGCAACTATCCTGAAGTTCATGCTAACCTCTTATTATTTCTAAACCACTTGGGATTTGGGGAAGGATCTGTGACATCAGCAATAATTCTCATGTCTGGGAGTGTTACTTAAATATCTTGAGAGGTTTGCCTTTTATATTTAGGCAGATTTTGCATTACTATCAAGAATGTCTTATAAAGCATAGTAAACAGCTGTCCCTTACCTCTGAGAAATAGCCAAAGGGAAACTTCCCTTGACTAGTAGAACTATGGGAGAAAAATACCCATTGTCAGCCCTGAGGCTTCTTTTCAAAACTTAACCAGCCTGTTAACCCTATTTGAAAACCAGGGTTAGTATAAAGTCTTACTGGCCTTTTATAAATTGTCAGTCAAGCGCATTGCTCCTTAATGCAGTGAGTGTGATGACTGGTGTATGTATTAATTGAAACAGTTTTAAAACTTCCAATGTATAGGCAGGAAAGCATCTTTACTAGTGTATTTTTATTTGGATAGTGGCAGGTTAGTCTTGGGGAAACCTATAGGTATAAATCAATTACTAGAAAGTTGCAGTAGGTGGCACTCTTTCATCATGGTCTAGAAAACGGATCATGATGCTAAGGAAAAGTTAACATTTCTAATTCTACTTACTAAGTTATACATATGAAGTGGTTAAAAGTTATCAGAGTAGATCTGGTAATATGTTAAATAAATTAGGTTGTATGTCCAACTAACATTTTTTAAGTTACCAGATATCCTTCCAGATTTTGCTAGCATTTCACACACAATACCTAGAACTTTTTTTTTTTTAGTTCCATAGTGTTTGTACTTAAGGATACTTGCTTCCATATGTTAAATCCCTTCATTCAGGAATGTATTGTGACAGGCACATGTCCTTGTTGCTTAATGATTCTATTCTGGCCTATAAGTTTATAATGGAATTCCTTTACCTTTTTAGTCTTTGACTTCCTCACTTGACAAAGGCTACAAAGATAAGGTGGGAAGATTTCTTGTCAGCCTTTTGAAAAGATCTGAGCATAAATAGAAAATGCGACTCTTATTTTGAATGTAGCGCACCATATTGATTCAATTTTAAGGAGTTCTCAATCCACATAAATGTAGACAGCCTTACTGCAAAATCAGTAATAATCTCGAGAATGCTGAGAAATAGGCAGAAAGATAAAGAATTCTCCAGTGAAATTTGGGTAGGTAACAGTGCTAATTAAGGATAATCAGTATTACACTGAGGTATTTGTAACAAAAAGTATTCACATCGCAGATTTTCAAGTAGCAAGGGGATACTTTTTATCACAACACAAAGCAGAAACATGGATCTCCCTGTTATAATCTCTGGCTGAGTGCTAATAATGGGGGTTAAGAGTTTTCCATCAGTTTCTTTAAGTAGTGTTTCCTCTTAAGGTTTCCATGAAGAATTACAGTTTGGTTACACCTTTTATCCAAGGTACAAAGGCTGAGACTTTGGTATAAACACCAGGAGAATCCTTGGCTCCACAGCCATACCCCCAGGAGGTCACCCCAAACACAACCCAACTCTCTCCAGGCCGTTCGCACATGAGTGGTCCTCCACTGTCTCCCTGGCAGCTGTCCACGCGTTTGTGTTCATGGAGGTTTCCAGCACAGATCATCCTCCCTGTAAACCGACCTTTATAACGTTCTTCACAAAACCTCTTAGGAAGTAAGGGTATGGCTGCTTGTTGTAGTGTTCTTGAATAGGCTCGTCCTGCTCAGACCAAATACCCAAATTAGTCAATCACATTCCAGCTAAGGATCACAACATTTAACAGTTTATGAACATTTCACCGTTTTGAAAATAAAATCTCTATTGCAGCATTAGTATAGTTTAAAATGGGTGATAACTACAAATGGCATATATTGTCATTAGCTGTCTTTTTGAATGTTGTCACCACACACCCTTAGCCTTCACAAATTTGTTTCTCAGTACTGAATTTTTTGAGGAATAATGAGTAATATTTATGGACTTAGCTGTCAACAAAGGTTTAAAGAAAGCACATTTGTGCAGGCTTTAGTATTTTAATTCTATACATTAAAAAACTGATGGTTTTGCATTAACAGCCATTTATCTGATTCATCTACTTCTCTGAACTTGAAGATAAATGGCAATTATATATAAGCACATAAGTTGGCAATAACTGTCCTAAATAAAAACGTGGTATTGTAAAAGGGATGATTCAGAAATAAAACATTGCACATACTTTCCCATATACAAACAGGCTTAAGGTTTACCACCTGGTGTTAGTGTATTCTACTTGCTGCTGAACCATTTATCCCTTGGTGGATGGCTAAAATGTATAAATATGTCCTCCATAATATTCTTTTCTTGAATATAGATTCCACCATTATTCTCTGGTTCTATTTACTCAATTGGAATAACTAGTCACAGTAAAAAGCAGTCTATAAAATTTACTTCCTTGGTCATTTCTATTAATTCAGATGTGGTGTCCAAAAGAAGGTGACTGAACCTCTTTTGAAGTAGTCATAATTCTAATAGACTTTAGCCTTCTCAGAGACTTGATTTGCCTCATGGATCAACACAGTGTACCCAGAAGGCTTTTACCCTGACTTTATTTTATCGTTGTATCATTCAGGAAATGTTTCTTTTTTTTTTTTTTCTTTTTTTCCCCAGTTTATCTCAGGATAGGTCCCAATGTTTTAGTAATCTATTTCTGCTGCAGATGTTCTACATTTTGCTGCTATGAAAAAGTATAACTGAAGTCCAGCTTTAGTATAGTATGGGATAAAGTAAACAGAGAGAGAGAGATATGTATATATTTACTAAGTAAAACCTTATTGAAATTATCACCTGTAGAAATATACTTGCTTGACAGTCTTCAAGAGTACAGCTATCAGTGCAGTTATTTTTAATGGAGAGCAATCAACCTATCAAAAATTTTTCTTTATTCAATAGTCATTTGTGAATTGAGCACCTAATCCAGGTGAGACCTAGTCTGTTCTTTCAAAGCCCATCTTCAGCAAAGAGTAGCTGATATACATTGATTTAACTCTACAGCAAGACAATACAGAAAGCTGTATTCGCCTGAGAAGAGCATAAGCTAAACATTACTCTTGCTTAGGGGTTGCAGGGTGGGAAGAATGGGAAGAAGGATGAAGGAGAGACTAGAGTAGGTTTCACTTCAATCTCAGCAGCTAGCTCTGCTTTTTTCTGTTCTATTTTTAGGAATTCTCTGTAAGAGTTTGTTTTATAAAGGGCTCAATTGCAAAGAAATTATCAAACACCAGAGCCCTTTGCTGGGCTACATTAAAATCGTCTGGAAAAGCTTTTTAAAATATAGACTGCCAAGTTTAAGTCTTGGAGTAGGGTCTTAAAATCTCTTCCCTGTCCCCTTTCTAATCTGGGGACTAATAGTAGAAGATTCTCTACCCCTGAGCACCCCAGGCAATTAAGTTATCTCAATCTTTGCCAAAGTTCTAACTGGAACCAGCCATAACTATCCAGATTACATGCATTCATTTCACACTTTGCAGAATTTCCAAACAACTACACCTGAACCCATGTAAGATCTTACTACCCATCGCACACCAAAATGTGTGGATAATACCAGGTACTAAACGGTGACCAGTTTTCCTCATTTGTTCCTTTGCATTATTTATATTACCTGTGTCTCCCCATCCTGTTATGTAACAGTGGGAGGCCGTTTTCTGTGGCCTCTCTCTCCAGAGTGGTAAACAAGCAGGCAAAACGTGGCTACTGAATCGGGCACATTGCTCTTCTGGTCCTTGTAATCTAACCAGGGCAATGTCGTAGTCACTGCTGTCTGGTCGATACTCGCGGTGAATCACAATCTGCTGAACTCCAATTTCTTCTTCAAACTCTTCTGGTACCAGAGTATGGTAATCCCCAACCCGAACAGCATAGTTCCTAGTGCTGTTACCATACCTGAGAGGCAGAGAGGGCTAATGAGAGGCTCATTTCAGATACTGAAAATTGGTGATTGTCAGCAAGGAAGGTTAATGGAGATACTGTAAGTCATTCTAGCCCCTTTTGTAAATTTAACCTTTCCTTCCATTTCTCTGAGCCCCACTCCCTCCTCTGCTGGAAAGCCATTGTCATCCCCTCATCTTCATTTCACTATGTAATCTAGGTTGTTATCTAACTATATTCTGGGGAGCAAATGTGGAGGAGTGGAAGATAATCTTTAACCTGTCGTTTCCCCACCAAATGAAAAAGAATCAAAACAGGAACAAATAGTATGGGATAAAATTATTGTCATCATTGTTTTTCTGTCATTTCCAAGATTGTTAGTTCATCATGAAACTCCCTGAAGGCAGAAACAATGTCTGGTCTAACTTTGTATCCCTCAAAGCGCTTAGAACCTTCGGTTTCCTAGAAAGTAAATTCAACTACTGCCCTTTTCTATGAACCAAATACAAACCCAAACTATATTTTCAGTTCAAAAGATATTCATTATATCCTTTCACCTCTTTTAAACCTTTACTTAGATGTCAGTTCTGTGAAGCCTACTTTGGCACCACCATATTTAAAATTGCAACCCAACTTTCTTTGTCTTCCCATCCCCCTGAACTCCCAATATCCTTAATCTGCTCTACTTTTTTCTTTTTTTTCTTTAACATTTACCACTTTCTAAAAAACTACCTAATTTACTATTTATTATGTTTATTGTTCTCTAGCTCCTCCTGCCTAAATAAAAGGTATTCCAGGACAGGGATCTTTATCTTTTGTTTCCACTGATGAGTATTTTTTTTTTTTTTTTTGATCTATAAAATTTTTTCAATAGTGGCCTTTTTTTCCCATTGGGAGTTTCCCTATCGGTTATCTTTTTAAAAAATAATTATTATTTTTAGTTTATAAAATAATTGTACATATTTATGAAGTATACTGTGATATTATGATACATGTATACAATTTGTAATGATCAAATCAGGGTAATGATTAACATGTCCATCACTTCAAACATTTATCTTTTCATTGTATTGGGAACATTCAAAATCCTCTCTTCTAGCTATTTGAAAACTATACAATAAATTGTTGTTAATTATAGCCCCTATAGTGCCATAGAACACTCGAGTCTATTCCTCCTGTCTAGCTGTACTTCTGTATCCATAAACCAGCCTCTCATTATCTCCCCAGACCCCTACCCTTCCCAGCTTCTAATAACCACTATTCTACTCTACTTCTGTGAGATCAACTTTTTTAGATTCCACATAAGTGAGAACATATGGTGTTTATCTTTGTGTCTAGCTTGTTTCACTTAACATAATGTCTGGCGGGTTCATCAATGTCACTGCAAATGACAGATTTCCATGTGTTTTTATGGCTGAATAGTATTCCATTGTGTAAATATACCACATTTCCTTTATCTATTCATCTGTTGATGGACACTTAGGTTGATTCTGTATCTTGGTTATTGTGAGTAGTGCTGCAATAAACATGAGAGTGCAGATGTCCCTTTTACATACTGATTCTTTTCCTTTAGATAAATACCCAGTAGTGAGATTGCTGTATCATATGATAGTTCTGTTTTTAGTTTTTTGAGAAACCTCCATACTATTTTCCACAATGGCTGTACTAATTTACATTTCTTCCAACACTGTACAAGAGTTCCCCTTTCTCTGCATTCTTGCCAGCATTTGTTATTCTTTTGTCTTTTTGATAATAGCCATTCTAACTGAGTTTTGCATTTCCCTGATGATTAGTGATTTGGGGCATTTTTTCATATACCTGTTGGCCATTTGTATATCTTCTTTTGAGAAATGTCTGTTCAGATCATTTGCCCATTTTTTAATTGGATTATTTGTTTTTCGGTATTGAGCTGAGTTCTTTACATATTCTGGATATTAATTCTTTGTCAAATGAATAGTTCACAGATATTTTCTCCCATTCTAAAGGTTGTCTATTCACTCTGTTGATTGTTTCCTTTGCTGTGCAGTAGCTTTTTAGTATGATATAATCTCATTTCATTTATCTATTTTTTGCTTTTGTTGCCTGTGCTTTTGAGGTCTTATCCATAACATCTTTCCTCAGACCAATGTCCTGAAGCATTTCTTCTGTTTTCTTCTAGTAGTTTCATAGTTTTGGGTCTTACATTTAAGTCTTCAATTCATTTTCACTGAAGAATCTTAAATACCTATAATACTGGTGCCCCATTAAGTAGGAATGGAACATGTTTGTTGATTTAGTGAATTAATGAGTATTTGTTTTTAATATGCATATTCTTTTTTCCATGAAAAGCTATTCAATTAAAATATAACACAAAATTTACTAGATTTATAGTTCTCAGCCTGTTTTTCAGCCAACATACCTTGATTCTGATACATCCATCTAAAGCAGGATTTTTCAACCTCAGCACTGTAGACATTTTGGGCCAAATAATTCTCTGTTGTGGGAAGCTGTCCTGTGCATTGTAGGGTGCTTAAAAGCATCCCTGGCTCCTATTCACTAGATGTCAATAGTACCTGCACTCTCCAGCCCTAGTTGTGATAACCAAAAACATCTCCAGACATTGTCAAATGTCCCCTGGGAGACAAAATGTCCCCAGTTGAGAACCACTGACCTAGAATATATGGCCCAACCCATCTGGATATTTCTTTCTCATTGAAGATTATAGCACCTTGCTCACTGTCCTCCCATCTACCACTGTTTATAACATTCTTAGTGACTTAATTTCTAACACTTTTCCCTTTTAGTTCCCTGATTTATCTGCAATTATATTCTCCACTTCATCTCAACCACCCTCTCCCAACATGACAACTAGACTTTGTAATCACCAAATACTATACAATTCTGAAATCTTGATTTCAAGCATCTCACACTTTGTCTCTATAACTCTATAGTCCTTCAACTCCATTGGACCCCATTAGTTTTTCATTTCCATTTCACTGTGCTTATAGCTTCCCTTCTTATCTGGCTTGGATTCTACTGTCCATCACCACAGTCATTCTTGCAAAAACTCTCAATTCTTCTTTCCTTTTACCTGCCAAAACGCCAACCCTGGTTTCATCAACTCTGTACCTACTTTGTGCTGGCATCTGACTGTTGAAGCTGAAAAGCATACATCTAATTTAACAACTCTTACCTTAATTTTTTGACCAAAACTTCAGAGTCTTCCACTGTTTATAAGACCTATACTTGAATGTGAGCTTAGAGAAGTTAGCATTCAAAAGTTTAGGATTATCTAATGACTGTCTATTTAAAATATAACCTCCCACTTACTCCTATGTAATTACTGGAGTTTATGAGATGCCTGAACATTCTAATAGCCATAAGTAGGGCTATGGCTATCTTGCATATACAAAGTAATTTTCTTAACTATGTCAGCTCAAAAAACTAAACAGTATAACAAAGATCATTTGGGATATACAGCCACCTACCATTGATCTGTAGTAATAATAATTGGCTGTGATTCCTTGAGACCCTCCTCTTTCAACTTTAAATCATCACATATATTTAAAATTCAGAGGCTATTTTTATATTGTGCCTAGAGAATATGCTCTTGTAGGTTCCACTTCAAAATTTAAGTAAAGTTTAGGATTATTTCACATCCTGAAAATGTAAAAACTAATAGTTATGGAGAATAATCAGATATTTAAATAATTCTCACTTCCGTTTTCTGTGTAGTACCATTACTAGTATATTATAAAAATTCAGTAAGCTTTATTAACAATATATTCAAGTATTTAAAGTAACTGCACGTGACTTCACGACTTTCCATCCAGAGTAATTGTCATCTTTGAAAATGCTGCTGAAATGTTACATATATTCTTTGGGATGAAATTAAGAAATTTTCTAGAGCTGCACCATCCAATACAGTAGCCAGTAGCTACATGTGGCTATTGGAGCACTTGAAATGTGGTTAGTCTGAATTGAGATGTGCTAAAAGTGTAAAATACACACAGGATTTAGAATGCTTAGTATGAAAAAAGAATACTAAATATGTATATTGTCTCTTTAAATAAGAATATTAAATATCTCCATAATTTTTGCATTATATTTTGCAAAGATAACATTTTAGATATACCAGCTTAAATAAAATATATTATTAAAATTAATTTCACCTGTTTGGTTTTTTTTATCTTCAAATGTGGCTGCTAAAAAACTAAGTTACATATATACCTTGTATTTGTGGCTTACATTATAGTTCTTCTAGACAGCACTAGCCTAGAGAAATAGTTTCGCATGATCTAGGCATCCTATTTTATTATATTTCTTTAATGTGGTTGCTTTTATGTTGCTTATAACTTTAAGCTTAAGTTATGAGACACTGCCTTCAAATGGTCAACATTTTATATTCTTCAAGATAATTACATTACTGTTCAATCTAAAAAAAAAATCTTATTACAACAGTATTTTCATTCTATGTAAAACAGCTGTGAAACTTGTCTAAAATAGCCTGTGCATCTAAACTGGCCATATAAATCTATTCTATGCTATCTATAAAAATCGAGTCTTCAACCAGTAAACAAAGGTACAGGACATTACTACAAAAAGGAAATTTATTTTTTAAATAATCTCAGTGTTTGTCAGTAGATGTTTAACCCTGGATAATAAAACACTTAACTTCTTAAAAATAAATAAATAATAATAATCTCAGTGTTAAATCCTTGAGTAGTCTTACCTTAATGTGTCATTTCATGCCAGGATTACTGAAATAGTTGTCTAAATGGCCTTGCTGCTTCAAGTTGAACTTTTTCAGTCCATCCTTCACACTGCAGCCAGAGCGATGTTTCTATCTGATAATATAACTACTCTACTGAGTATCCTTCAAGGGGATCCCCCTTTCTAAATAATAAAGTTAAATTTCTTTAAGTGATATACAAACCTGTCTAAACACTGGCCTTTGTCCACCTCTGTGATAGCACCATCCTGGCCCCTGTGCGCCTGTCCCAAGGGGATCCCCCTTTCTAAATAATAAAGTTAAA